TACTGCACAGTAATAGTTGTAATAGGTAGTAATAGTAACACGTAATAGCTGTAATATGCAATATTTGATATTTTTTCTAGCTGAATGGGCACATGGATCCTCCAAAGAAGTCCTAACTATTTACTATTCACACAAAGGATGAAGGAARCTAAGAAAGGTGATGTCCTTTGCAGCTGCTAACGCTGAACATGAGTCACCCTTCTTTAGAGGCAATGTTAAAACTTCACTTCTTACAGATTATGATCATGAATGATAGTTGAGGAAAACATAAGATCTTTCTTCTGGTGGTACCAGCATTGGGAGAAAAGTACGTGCTTGATGCCTTGCTGCAGTCTTATCCCAGTCCCTTCTAAGAGTGGATAATTTCATTAAGTGATTATTGCTTACATACGCAATTAAGAAGAGAGAAAATATGGACCAACATGCTTTAAGGGTTTTATATATGAAAAAGAAGATCTTAGAGTTAATATGACATATGACAAGCAATTAGTCTAACCAGGCCATGACTAAAATTCTCACTTATGAGAGCTTAAAAAAAAAAAAAGAAAAGCCAAGCTAAGCAACAACATTTTCAATGGACACTGGATTTTGTCAAAAGACAACAAACTAATCACAAATAATGTGATCACAACAATTTTGMAATATAAACCACTTTCTCTAAAGTAAATGTAGGGAATTTAAACTGATGSAACGAATCTGGCCCAGAACAACTTTCTTGAGATTCTAAATATGGGACTCCCTGAACCATAAACCAAGAGTTGATAACTGAACAATACCTGATCAGCAATAAGTCCTTTTCCAGTAACTTTAAAAAAAATCCAGACAGACAAATTTAAGGAAAAGCCAGTTGATACTAGGTCTGATAGAATCAATTAATTTTGATTAAAAAAAAAAAAAAAAGAAAAACAAGGTTACAGTAATATTATTCATATCCTGGAATTATATCGCTGATCTGCTCTAAAGGATATCTTAAAGGTCTATCAACTTCAGCAACACTAGTTAATTTCAATAGAAGGATAAAAAAAAAWTWAAWTWWTTTTYCTGCTCTGTGGATTCACAACTCCCTCATCTCTTCCTTGATATTTTATATGTCATAGTATTTCTGTCTTTTCAATTGACTCATATGTCCCCTAACCAGATGTCTAGGAAACTGTTATTTACATCCATGCAGAATCCTTACAGTTTTATAAAGGATGACTTTAATGAGTCAGTGCCAATTCAGACATAAAAATATTTTTCCTAATTTATTCCTGCCTAAAATGGTTCACACCTGTTCCTATAYGCAGAAAACCATAGATAATTTCAAATTTACTTCAGGGAACATGGGTTTGCTATCTGCTATGTTCTCAGCTTTTAACAGCAAATTATGAAAAGAAAGGGCACAAGAATCATAGCAGAACTATTACAATTTATAAGGAAAACTAAGTCCTAAGATGGTAAGTATCACAGCAAGGTATATAATTAAGAGTGGCTATAACAACAACATATAAATTAGATAATTATGGATTAAGCAATCCCTTGGGGGATTCTCTCTTGCCCTAGAAAACGTATARCAAGCTCCTTAGATAGAAGGCAATAGCTATTAAGCATTTGAGGGACAAGTAGGACTACAAGGAGAAAAAAAAAAGACACAGWAAGATAAAAATCCTAATTTACAATCTAAAGATGACTCTCATTTTTGGTGGTTTATTTTAATACACTTACTGGTCCAGTTTTCCCCCATTAAATCTGATGACATCTGTTGGCTAAAGAGCGCATGTCAGATTATCCAGAAGTGCAAGATCAAATATACACGAGCTGCTTCTTAAGGTGACAGTAGGGAGATACAAAACACTGCAGCGATTACCAGAGATGTAATTTTTTTGTTGTTTTCTTACATCAATGCAATAATCCCAGGTGTCCTAGACACCAGACAAGCAATAATCTTCATAAATCCTAATTCACAGCCATACCATCTGTCAAAAATATTTTTATTTCTCCTAATAGATAGGCTACTTAATTGCTCTCACAGTAGGACAAAAAAATACATTATTGCACTAATTTGCTTTACCAGTGGAAYAGCTCATTATCAAAAATAATCCCACCACATTACTGGGGTTTCTAGCACTCTTCATATATCAAAACTAACCTTTCCATTCTGCTATTTTCTATAACCTCAAATTCCCAGTGAAAGCAGATAAAGATTGAATTATCTGGAAATTGTACTGTAATAATGGAAAMATCACAAGCATAAAAAAATTAAAACCATAGTGTCCCTTTCTATTATGATTGCATTGCAGTTAAAATTAGAAGCTTTGTATTTCATGGTCACTAATTTACTGATTTAGTCACTAACAAGACTAATTTAAGTTCTCATCCCTGCAGAGCACTAACCATTTTGGAYCCATTCCAGAAAAGCACTTAAATGTGTGTGTGACTTTTAGATCATGAGCCTGGAGCAACTTCAGTGGGATCAGACATGCTTGATTAGACCCAGAGCACTCCGTGCCCTGCCGGAAAACACGTCCCCCTAGGAMTGACCACCATTAGGAGATGACCCTTCCAAACCACCACCCACACTTGCAGAGATGGAGAGCATGTTCACTTGCAGAGAACACTCCACATGGGACTGTTCAAAGCAGGAGCTTCTGTCTGAAGCAGAAGGCAAAATGTCTGGGGTAAAGTTGGCCTCTGAGAGCACTCTTCCTCCAAGAAGTTTCTAAATACCTGCATATTTCTGCTAACATGCATGCAGTAACAAACACCTGAAAACAGCATTGACTGCAGGTATGGCAGGGGTCACAAGAGGTTCTGTCTCACCTTCCTAGTTGCAGCAAGATGACCTTGATGTAAACTTTTACTTGTGTATTAGTTTAAATAATTTATATAAGATTATACAAAAATATGCACTTGATAATTAAGCGATGGTACAGCAAACAAATCCAATGGTACCTAAATGGGAAATTTCAAAGGTGATGGCCATTACCAAAAATATCCCAGAACATACTTTCTTCAAAAAATCAAACTCAGCCTCATCTCTCCTTTAAATAAGGAAGTGATCCATGAACCAGGTATTACTTCACAGTTCTTTAAAACAAATTTCCAAAAGCACTTTTCATGTTCCGTGAAGTTTGTATCTAATAAGTAGTGAAATAGTTTAYATTTAAAAACAAAAGCTGGTTTCCAGCAATGGAAAGATGCAGTTGATGAAYTAAATGCTCTTTTGCTCAGTCCTGCATGACAAATATCTGATGCCACTTTGCAGCCTAACAACTATATTTTAACACAGTTCTATGTTTATCAAGAGTTTGTATTTTAATACTAACAAGGTTATTACTTCAATTGATGTTCTATGTCTCTATGACATACTGAGTATGTAACACAATSCTTTTCCAGTTTCCCTAAATTGATAGAAGTTCTCCCACAAATTTACAAAAACATGCTCACCATTGCAAGGAATACTGCTTTCCTAATGGCCAGAATTATCCATTTAATTTCCATGATTCACAATTAKTCTACTTAATTTGAGAACTTGAGAATTCCTTCGAGTAAATGTGATTTACCAMATACTGAAATCTAGACTGAATGGAATGAATTGCCTAAATATTACCAAGTGCTGGATCTTAATTTAACTGATTCTGTCACGAGCCAGTTTATATATTTCTGTGRCATGTAAGTATTTTAACAGAAAGGTGAAAATCATCCTTTGTTTMATTTTCACTGTAMTATTTCCTATTWATTTTGAAAACTTTGCTTYTTCTCTCTAGCTCATAAAACTTMAAATGTATACAAGTTCCTCTTTTCYTGAAATTCCTTTCTTTTCAATTCAATTCTTTTTTCAACAGAATTGAAAAAAMCCACAGAGGCTGCAGTAACTGGCAGTTCACCATCCCCAGCAAGAATATCACATTAAAGGAAACTCCGTTTGTCCAGTAGGTAACTACAACATCAGTAAATTATATTGTCCAGATCTGCAGGACTTTAGYTACAAAACAGCCTGGCTCACATGTGCATGGATCTAAAACTAAGACTAAAACTTTGCAATTAATTGGAACTAATTCATACTTCCACACTATCAGAAAGCAAACCACTCATTACTTATAATGAATTAAAGATATCTGTATAGGACCAATGTTAAATTTTAAATTAAAAAAGAAGACTACAGGCCACACATACATACAGACCACTCTTAGAGATGGAAAAAATGTCACACATCCCTCTAGTATACCAAGGGACTTAGCAATACTAAATATTGAAATGGCATTGAWAAGAGACAAACAGACACTAGTCTGTACTAGGTTAGTACCAAAGGARAAAGAGACAGTATAAGTTAAGCAAAAAAGAAAAAAGAACGACAACAAAAGCACAAAAAGTCCATGCCAAACATCTCTTAGCCACCTTGCAGATGTCTGAAACTACATAAAAATGGAAAACAGGCTCGTACTTAGTACAAAAACATTTTCAGAGGAATGGAGAAGAAAATATGTGTACATCATATGCAGAAATATTCTGAAAAGCCTGTAAACATGTATCAAGTAAACCACAGAAAAAGTAGTTTACAGCCACACAGTAGAGAAACAGAAAGGTGGAACACCATAAAGACAGTCTATTATGCTCACACATTTACAACATTACTCATAATGGTAGTTGTGGAAATACATGACTTATGCAAACGTGTGACATTTTCCATCACTACTCACCACACTAATGCTTCTGTGCAGTTCATTAACATTCTAGCTACAGTTTCATCCTTGCACAACTCCAGTGTAAAAATAAGAAATCCAGCAATACAGCCAAGCCTTTTACTATTTCTTTTTCAAGTCCACGACAGTGGGCTTGATATTATTGCCATCTAATTAGCAGCAGGGCTGCTTTTCTGACAGATTACAAGGAAGACTGAGAGTCACTCAGCCAATGGAAGATGTAAATATGGTGAAACCATCTTCTGCAGGACATCTGTGTTTCTTAAAGGAGCTGCTATGGAAGTTCAATCATGTGTGCATAAGAAAATAGTCTCTTACCTGTGGAGGTTGATTGTACCCTGGTCTGGTCTCTGGAAATGAAGTTTTATCCTTTGACTCTCTACTTTGATCATCAGCTGTGTCGCCTACAAAAGTAAAAAAAAACAACAAAACCCATTAATTCACTGAAATCCTTCATATTTTACAGAGAGTAAGGAAACCTCTTCAGTCTTCCTAAAATCAAATTATACCCTGAGAAAGGGGAAATTCCATTGCCACACTTGTATTTACAATTGTGAACACAAATAAAGAGAAGAACATTGAGGAATGATCTGCAAAACCCAGGAACAAATCTATGTCAGTTATTTAAAAGGGAAAAAAACATGGGGTAAAAAGGGAGAACAGAAAAAAGCAGGGCCCCTACTTTTGCACCCTTTGGGACCATTAAGATCCAATAATTAGCAAAGGATACATAGCAGCGTGACTATATAGTGCAAATGTGTCCCAAATGAGTGTGCTTGAGATCACCCAGGTGCACACATCCATCAAATCCTAATCCAATGTCAGGCTAGGAGCACAGTTACTCTATCCTCATTCATAGGCTCATTTCCACACAGATTATATCTGTGCATGAGTGCAGAAAGAGAGGCAAAGCATTCTGAGAAATGGCCTAGTTTTGACTGTATGAGGACAAAGACTGCTTGGCAGGTTGGGCACCAATCTCCTCCCATTGCACACACGTGGCTACCTCTGCCCAGAATTTTACTGAGAAGATATAATTCAGTTTATCCCAAAAGCTGCTGCTGGTACTGATCTAAAGAAGGGCAGATCACAGCAATAAACTAGAGAAAAGATTATTTAGACATTTATTTTTAAGACAGAAGGTACATTATCAATTTTATTAAAAAGGCAGAGGTAGTCAAAAAGACCCCAAAACAATAATTTGTTTCTCGTATGTTGCAAAACAAACATCCACCTATCCTATCTTCTCCAATTTTCTTTGTCAATGGGACAGTGTACCAGAAGTTGTAAAGATTTTGCAGATTATTTCCTGCTGTTAGTACTAAATAGTTTGTAAGAGAAGAGAACTGAGAAAGATTAAAAATGTACATAATCAGGTTTTATTTTTATTTTAATTCATAGTGTTTTTTGCAATGGAGTATTTTGAAAGTCTGTTTCCTTTAAGAGTCCTGCAGCAGCAATTCAAAATGAAAGGGTTCGAGTTACTGTAGTTTAACTTCTTTACTAYACCAGTGGTTTTGGCTCTCCTGTTCCATTTTCTCCAGAAGTTTAGAGCCAGTGCACCAGGCAGAAGTCTTTGGGAACAGCAGCCAACTTCTGCTTGTGCCCAGTAAGTCTGGGAGGCCAATGACACCCAGGTCCCTGCATGTTTGCTCCACACTGTCATGCCCTACCCCAGGTCTGATGGTCAGGTCTCTCAAGTACAATGCAATATTTGGTCAAGTTTTTTATGAAAAAAGACACTAACATCTAGTCATTGTGTCTGCTTCTAACACACAGGTATTACTCCTAGCACTGTATGCAGAGAATCATCATCATAATCTTTGTCACAGGTCATTAGTGCCTATTAATTTCATTAATGTCTACGCTTCCCAACACCTTTCCTGGAGTTGAAAAATGCTTCTCAGTTAACTAGTAATTCTGTACCTAAAATCTCCAAAGCACTTCTATTCATAAGAGCTCTTTAAAAAAAGGGGTGCAGGAGAACAAAGGAGATGGGGAGTCAGTTAATCTTCAATTGCGTTGAAAAACGCAATTTGTAAACATCTGTAAAATAACAAGGTAAGTAATAGTMATGAAAATCAATAATGTCAAACAATTAGTTTACATTTGTAATGAAGTAGAGGCCTACAAACAAAAATTATTACAAGTCTTGTAAATGCACTCTGCCTAAGGGAGGTGTAAAAATGGTTAATGAAGAGGGCAGTAAGGCATATTTTTGGTACATTTCCTGTGGATGAGACCGTAAACAAGATTAAATTGTAACAAATTTAGGCTAGATAAGTTTCTCCAGGAGTAAGGCTACTAAAGYACTTTGAACAACCTAAGGAAATGGTTTCTCTAAACAGTGGTTAATCTCCAAAGGACTTCAGAGATAGGTTGAAGAAACATCTGTTGTGAATGGTTTCAATCATGCCAAGACAAGGAAGATGAATGACCTTTTTGTGTTYCTTTCTAGTCCTACATTCCATGAACGATGCAGGAGGAAAGACTCCACAGGATATTCTCTCCCAAGATCAGGGAACTTTGCTGTCTGCAGGGAGACTTGKGAATGCACAAGGAGACTGCAGTGARTGGGACATCGACTCACKGAGTGTGTAAGGGCAGAGCTGAGTGGGCAGTTGGCACCAGAGGGATATATTGGGTGAAGCTCAGTGTTTGCATGCACATGTGCTGAAAAAGCTACACCRGAGAAAACCAATGTTTTACTCCTTGTCCTTGTACACCATTCCTGAGAAAGAACTCCAAAGTTTTTATGTGAAAAAAACTACCAAGAAAACCCAATTCACGTGTGCTAATGCTACCCAGAATATTTCCTTAAGATGAAAAGAGCCTTGGTTTGAAAGGATGACCAGAAGTCAAAAATGATCACAAGAAAGGAATAATAAGAATAACTCATTTAGAGAGAAATTAAATGTTTTACTTAGATCTTTGTCATCCAGCTCCTAGTTCACAAGCTCTTAAGGATGCCAAATGATGGAATATCTTTAGTGTTTCACAATGCAAATTGCCTTTGTAATGCTGCACAACAATTCAGAGTTGTTTTGTTTTGGTTTTTTTTTTTTTTTTTAAAAAAAAGGAAATGGGGAAAGACAAATTTCTTGCCAAATTTTCAGGCATATGGTCCTGCAAGAATAAGCCACGATTCTGTATAGACCTTTATTATTTGAGTTAACGATGTCAATAGAGTTTCAGGCAGCCTCCAAAAAGACCAAATGGTCTAAGACATCCAGTAGGATGAAGTAGTTGTCCAGATAAATTGCTATTTTCAGTGTACTTATTTCACTGGTTCCTATCGCAAATATTCAGACAGATTAGTTATCCTTATTTGTACTAGCCCAAATAATTAAGTGTGCCATACTTCCCCAGCTCTATCAATTCCCAACCCCATCTGGCTTGCCAAAGCTAACACATCTTGTTTTAGCCACCCACATTTTTTTTTATTTGTTTAGCTTGTCTTGGTTAGCCACTCACCTACAGTCTAATCTCTTCCCTTAACTGGAAGTCATAGTGTGTCTTCCCTCTTCAGCCCTTTAGAATGCTTCCCTCTGATATGGGTTTTCCACTTCTCTTCTGCAACCTTGTGATCTCCTCTTCCTACACACCTACCACTATGGGAGAAAGGGGGATGATGCCAAGCACCAAAAGACATCCATGAGAGAACAGACCTTTGGGTGCAGGAATTAATGTGGGTTCTTTTGAGCACTTCAGACATTCTGGTTGATARCTTTTGACTGGGGAAAAAACCCAAATAACCAAACCACTCCTCCCCTCCAAACATTGAAGAAAAAAAACCCCAACAAACCCAAACAAGCCCTCTTACACCATCTTGATGTAAACAGATATACAATTATATTTTTTCTAAATTAAGCAACTGAAATCTGGCTTTGAAAAAAGGTCACAAATACATGATCTTAGTAGAAAGGGCCCCCTTAAAATCTTTCATCAGAACTGAAATTCATCGCAACTGCAAATATGTTCACAGCTAAGGCCAGAGGGGCCATGGTAATCACGTAGCCTAACCTCCTGTAAAAATATAGGCCATAAGATTCCTTGAATTAATTTGTTTGAACTAGAGCAAGTTTAAATCTGTAGTTTAATCACGAGATAAGAGACAAAATTATTTATTTTATAAAACAATTAGATTCTGGCTCATATATTCCACGGTTTAAGCATTGTGCAAATTTTAGTCATAAAACTTCTTTAGAAAATAAATCTAAGTCATATAGCAAAAAATGTCATATACTGTTTAAAGTCTATAAGAATTAGAAATGAAGGGCACTTCATGCAGTGGAATATGGTTTAAATATCAGCCGCCTAATCTCTAATATGCAGAACACTACTGGGAAAATTTATCAGGAAAAAATAATCATGCTCATTGCTGTAAAATATTTCCTTACTTACCAATGGAAAAAATATTTAAAGTTTTAAAAGAAAGTAGTAGGCATATTTATCCTACTGYCCAGATAAGCTTGTATTTCAAATCCTCAGTTTGGGAGGCTGTTTTTAAGTTTTATTAAACSTCTTCAAGGCCCAAATAATCAGTGYTGCACRGAAAGGTCAGACATACGTTTCTCCTTTCACTAAGCTGGTGCTGGATTTRCACCAACATTCTCCAAGTTCCACTGGTATCTTTTTCCAAGAACTGCAGCCAGGTGTTCCACAGGAAAGAAATACCTAGKCCAGCCCTCAGTATGTGCTATGTATGTCCTCCCTTAGAACTTGGAATTYTTGGTATCTTCAGAAATCTGCATTCAGCTGCCTATCTGGACCTCAGCGAATTCTCATATAGAAAGGTTCAACCACAAGTTTGGCTTCTACTCAACAAGGAAGTGGTGTTTCTATTTATACTCTTTCCTCTTCCAGCATTTTGTTAACCTCAAGCTGTGTATTCTCTTGATCAACAGACAGCATTTAAAAGCCTAGCCCACCCTCAGTTTAATAAATTGAAACCAATTGTAAATATATTTTAGTCTTCTRTAATGTAGACTGCCATTTGTCCTGGTCTGTGCAAAAATCCTGTGAGAYACTGAAGCACGTAAAACACAGCAARCAGTAACCAGCGACCAAATACATGGATTTTCAAATGTCACCTTCAGCTTCAAAAGTAAGACAGCTATTTTCCATTATACTTTAGTTAGTTGTTTAACTCTTTGTTGCCTGTCATTATCTTCTCTATCCTGCAAARAGATGACAAGAACAGAGAATATTCTGGCTCCTACTTAGCAGCAAAAAGACAAAAGGTTTTAAGAGAGTATTCGAGAGATTGGAGAGAGAGATTGRCTCTGTGGAAGCATCAAGGTTTTACTGCAGTTTCTTTTCCCTCTTTCTTACTCATATATCTTCCCCTCTCTCCCTACAATAAGGAAAAAAAGCCAGACACAGCCATTTCAAGTTACCCAAC